TATGGATTTGTATGGAAAAGTTTTTTTTTGTGATTTTTCTTTAAAATATGCGTTTATATAAATTAAAATAATTAAAATAAATGCAATTTCATTTATTTTAATGAAATAAAATGGTTTTATTTAAATATTTAACATGAAATGCAAAGCGAATAATGTGAATTCGCTTTATGTGCAGCATTTTGATGTGTGTTAAAGTGAGCGCGCATAAGAATATACACAGGCGTAAAGTGTATGCTTTTGCCAATTGGACTGGCACGATCTGATCACGTGATAATTGCTACTATTGAAATTCGTTTGGCCGTTTGTGTGTATTTGTTAGCGTCGGTTGTCACGTGATGGGAAGAATTGAGTCCAATTGGCAGTTGCGCATGCTTTGTGCCTGTATTAGTCATTTGTGTTGGTGTAATTGAAGCGTGTTTGACAGTCGCAAAGTGAATAGTTCGCATTGAGAGTGAAACTGAGTGGATTTAAGTAAGTAAATATATTTTTTGATGAAAAATGTGTGCAATTCAAGTAATTTTATTGTTTTAAAGTGGAAATATTTAATTTAATTCTATTTTAAATTGGCAGTGCTAACGGGATATTCGCACATTTTGTTGGATTACATCATTACAGTGGATTGTGGCAGTCAGTGGATTCTGTGTAGAATTTAGCAACAAAAGCATTCGTTTGGTGTGTGACAGTGGCTAAAACGCGATTAAACCGTAAGAATCCGATTTTTCATTTCTTTAAATTAGAAATTATTGTTGAAAATGAATTATTTTAGTGAATAATTTTCATTTTTCTGGCAGTTTGAACAGAATTGGTGCGTGATTTCGATCGTAACGAAGGCAGCTGCTACTACTGTGCACTGAGAAATTGTTTTGTAATAAAACACATCTAAATCGTAAGAAAAAATTGAAATTGTTGTAGAAAATAAATTCTATTTCGGTTTTTTTTTTAAGGATTTGTGATTTTTAATGAAAATATTTTATTTTTTTGACAGGTTGGTTGTCGAGACAAAGTTGGTTGCTGCTGTGTTCATTTGCAACTCATTGTGAACTGTTTGTGTACGTTTGGAGCCGATTTTTCTATCCAACGCTATCAAAACGTAAGAAATTGATTGTTTTTTCATTTTAAGTTGGTTTTTATGCTAAAACAAATTGCTTTTCATGTTTTGCTTATAAAATTGTTGGATTTTAGTGTAATTTTTTTTATTTTTCTGGCAGTTTGGACAGAATCGGTGCGTGATTCGTCATTGAGTGTACCTAACCTACACCAACAGAAATAATCTGGCTGGAGTTGTCTAAGAAAGTTATTCGAACGCATCAAAGTGAACTGTTTGTGTGCGCTAAGAGCCGATTTTTCAATTCAACGCTATCAAAACGGCAGAATTTGTTACTCTTAGGTTTACACAACATTTCAAAAACCGAAATGCAACTTGAATAACATAAGTTCTAAATATTTTTAAGTTTTAATGGCTTTTTTAAACGTGAAGGTCAAAGTATTCAAAAGTTAAAAGAATTATATAAAGTTGCATACGATGACGATTTGGATTTTGAATTGTTGGTCACATTAATTGTGTCAGGTGTAATTGTTGTAAATACAATTACCCAAAGAATCTTTTTAAAAGATTCGGCAAAGTGGGGTGCACAAAACCTCTCATTTTAATTTTTTTTATATTCGAAAACGAATTCTGATAAAAATGTAATTTTCACATTATTTTTTCAATTTAATTTTGACATTTATTCGTGCCGTATGTATAGGCAAAAAACAAATATTATTTTTTGTAAACCAATAAACCGAAGAAAGGTTATTTAGTATAATTTTTTTTACATTAGTAGTTGGTCGAAAAGTAATTTTGCCATCTTCATTCACCGGTTCGCCAAGAAATATGTATCAAAATTATCTTGATGCTATGTGCATAGTTCAACATTTTGGCAAACCGTCATTGTTTATTACAATGACATGCAATCCGAATTGGCCGGAGATCAAAAGGCACATAAAAAATTACGAGCAAGTCAATTTTCGACCAGATATTATTGTTCGTGTATTTAAAGCCAAATTGAAACAATTGATTAAAGAAATTGTCGAATTGGAAATTTTTGGTAAAGTGGTGGCGATCATATACACTATTGAATTTCAGAAGCGAGGGCTTCCACATGCGCATATCTTAATTACTTTGAAAGAAAATGATGCAATAGTTGGGTCTTCTGTTATCGATAAAGTTATCGGACACGGAATCAATAACACGTGCCATTCAAATTTTCAACCATTGCATCAATTTAAAAAGAAAGAAGTGTTTATTATTGGCCGATTCATCGGCCACTTGGCGACCCTAGTATAATTTGTAATGAAAAGGAATATTGATTCACGTCCGCCCTCTTTATTTTCGCCCTTTTCAACCATTTTTTCCAACAGGTGAACTGCCAGTTTGTACTGAAACGTGCTGTCCTGAATAATGTAATTATGCAGTAGGCGTCTCAAACGATGAACTCAAACGAATGATATAATATAATTGATACCATTAAAAAATGGAATAACAAGATTCGGAAGAGCTATTGGATCGGACATACACATCGATTCTATTTTGTGCAACAAGGAACATTGCTCAATTGTTGTGGATGGCTACAATGTCAACTTAATTGACACATCAGAATACGGTGTTTTTGTCAACAACGCTTTGGTTGCAACGGACTCGGTTAAGCTGTGGCCAGGCGATACTATCCACGTGATCTTCAACCGGTTCCAGTACGAGTTTATTAGAAGAGGATTGAGAGCAGAAACTTACGAATATATAATTGAATGTGCCGACGATATTTAAAATTCAATTCAATTTAATTTGTATTCTTTTTTTTCCTGAATAAACTTCTTTCTCATTTCAATTTATAAAACCAAAAAAAAACATCCGTCTTTTTTGTTACGCATTTTATTTTTTCAGCCTTCTTTACAGCTATTCCGA